CCATCTTCTCATTCCTGAGTTCAAACTAGCACTGACATTTTTCTTTTTAAAAACGCTTAGATGTTGATGAGTGTCTCGCGAGYCCATGTCAAAATGGAGGGACTTGTACCAATCAGATTGGGAGCTATGTATGTACTTGTAAGCCTGGCTGGAAAGGAAGACGCTGCCACGAAGGTAATCAACGGAGGAGCACAAGATTTGAAGGGTTAAATTTCGATTTTAAAAAAGTGCTTTCTAAAAGAAAAGAATAAAGGTCTTGTGCCTGGGACTGAGGGTCAGAACTCCATCAAAATTTCATATTCCTTTCAGACGTCAACGAGTGCTTGAATAGACCATGTAAAAATGGAGGAACATGTAGCAACGGTGTAGGAAGCTATAGATGTGCATGCCTMGCTGGATGGAAAGGACAGCATTGTGAACTAGGTAAGAAATTTGAAAAATATTGAATACATTCATGTTTTGGCCAGCTAATCACAYTCTAATTTGATTTCAGATACAAATGAGTGCCTTGCTAATCCTTGTAAAAACGGAGGAACGTGTACCAATAATGTTGGCAGTTATTCTTGCCAGTGTGGTCCGGGCTGGAAAGGGCAACATTGTAATGAAGGTGYGTCATCAAAACTTCCCAAATACTTGATATATTCCTTCACATAACATCTTTTGCTACACAAATATATCTTTAGATGTCAATGAATGCTTGGCAAAGCCTTGCAAAAATGGTGGAACCTGTATGAACAAACCTGGAAGCTACATGTGTACTTGTGCACCAGGATGGAAGGGACTAACTTGTCATTATGGTACGTACAAAAACAAATTTCCTTCTCTTCCTAAACTGTTTATTTGACGGCTTAAATTCCTTCCAGACGTTAATGAGTGTCTAAATTACCCGTGTAAGAACCAAGGGACGTGCACCAATACTGTAGGAAGCTACTCGTGTACTTGCTCTACAGGGTGGACTGGAGCAAACTGTGCTCAAGGTAAGAAAAAAGGCCCATTTTCACTAGTCATGGAAGAATGTGTCTCACGCTTAAAAACCTTATCCCTCTATTGCTCTTCATTATTTGTATTTAAGTAAAGTTCTTGCTTGCTAAATATTCTGATTCTACATTCTAWTTTTATCTAGACATTGACGAGTGCGCAAGAAAGCCATGTTTGAATGGAGCCAAGTGTTTTAACAGCGTTGGTAGTTACAAATGCACCTGTCTACCAGGGTGGACAGGGAAAAACTGTCAACATGGTAAATATGTGCTTGTTTTGTTGATTATTTGCGCGCTTGTTATTTGATTTTTTCATTCTTTTTTTTTTCATTCTAGATATCAATGAATGTCTACTCGCGCCATGTCGACATRACGGTCTGTGCATCAACAATGGTGGAAGTTATACATGCGTTTGCAAACCCGGCTGGGAAGGACAGCATTGTGAGCGAGGTATATCACTGTCTGTCTGTCTTATGGTAGACTGKTTTCCAGTCAAAASTCTTCTTCATACGAATCGYTTGTCTTTAGATATCAATGAATGCGCGAGAAATCCATGTYTGAATGGTGGGACATGCACAAACAGCGCTGGTAGTTTTTCCTGCGATTGTAAAACTGGCTGGAGGGGCAAACTGTGCCACGTGGGTAAGTCTAAAAACTAAATATTTATTTTTGATTAATAATAATTGATAAGTATTCTTGGTTCTAACTTTGTGCTTACTTAAAAACAGTTATTGATTATTAAAATACCTTCATTATTATTATTGTGCATTATCTTTGATTTCTTATCGACTAGACAAGAACGAATGTTATTCGCTGCCATGCCTCAATGGAGGAACATGTGTCAATAATAAAGGAAGCTTTACTTGTGACTGTACTCGAGGATGGTATGGAAAATACTGTGAAAAAGGTACGAACACCTAACAGATGTAGTTCATCAGTAGAACCGCTGTTTGGCTTGGTTTTAAACCAGTCATAAAGATCAAACTTTGAAATACTCCAATTTCGAGTTCTGGTTTGCTCTGTGTTAGCCTCAAAACCAAGTAACATATTCTTTTGTTCCATAGATAGCTCGAGAAAACGCATGGAATTTTGTGAAGAAAGACAATAGAATTGATTTAAAATCTCATACTTTTATTCTCACAATTAGGAATATTTTGCACACAGATGAGGCTAACACAGAGCACTGGAGAATTCGAAACTGGAGTATTAGGGGCGCATCTGGGAAGATTGAAGGGAGTTAAAAMCATCCTTATCGGTTGAAACTAAGGCCAAAAAGCAATATTATTAGCATCTTTTTATGGTGAAAGTTTAAAGTTTTAAATTTAAGTTTAAAATCAAAGTAAAGAGGCTTGAAAAACTTGAAACATACACTTTTCCTTTGTTTAATTTCCTTATAGACATCAACGAATGCATTAACAGCCTCTGCAGAAATGACGGGACATGTGTCAATACTATAGGAAGTTACAAGTGCCTTTGCACGTCGAATTGGAAAGGAAAACATTGTCATGAAGGTGAAATAATTCTCTTTTCAATTTATATATCTTTATCATTATCATCATAATTATTATCATCATCATCATCTTTATAATCATCATCCATCACTATCTTTATGATCATCATCTATCATCTTTATAATCGTCATCATATTCATAGCTATTACTATCATCAACATTATTATTATTATTATTATTATTATTATTATTATTATTATTATTATTATTATTATTATTATTATCTTAATAATACTATTCATTATTATTATAATTTTTTTCAGATGTTGATGAGTGCACTGCTAATAACCCATGCATGAATCAAGCTAATTGTACCAATCTTGAGGGAAGTTACAAATGCATTTGCCCAAAAGGATGGAAAGGCGATGATTGCAATATCGGTAAGAAAGAGATAATGTTATTTGTCCTCCCTMGCCCTCCATCTTCACTGAGGCAATATACGACTACAGAGTTCATATGTGTTGGTATTTACCATTTTGTCWATCAAAACAGATATCGACGAGTGCATTTATCGCCACTGCAAGAATCAAGGCGTATGYGTCAACACAYTGGGAGGGTATTCTTGTTCGTGTAGGTACGGTTGGCAAGGAGAAACGTGCTCTGAAGGTAACGATTRATATTGCATAACCTACACATATCCCTGCTTSAGTATCCTTGTATCACATGAGATATTACATRRTCACATGGAGATACGGATTTTATCTTTGAAYGTTGAAGAGATCTCTCACGAGTTAACGCATTTCAATCAAAGGTCTTTCAATGTTATGAATCTAATAGTGCTATATTCTGTAATGTTATCTTATTAGATATCGATGAATGCTATTTGAAAAACCCTTGTAAGAATAAAGCGACCT